CTGTCGTGTCAGCTAGCCACATGACAGCCACTGTGCTGCATGGAGATTGTGCCCCTCACATCTTTTTACTGCACCTGTGCGAGGCTCCAAACGGGGGATGATTGGTTTTGGGGGGCCGCTAGGTGGCAGGCATAGGCCACAGGGGATGTTGGGCAAATTTAACAGCTGATTATTGAGGATGGTCTGAGAGTTGGAGGCTTCTTACCCTCCTGTTGAAGGGTTACCAATCTGTATTCCCCCCCTTTTAAAGTGGCTTTTAAAAGTGTGTAAATGTATTAATGCCCTCCACTGAGACATCCAAGTAAAAACAAACTAAAACTTGATCAAAATTGATGAAAAGCAGAGCAAAATGTGAATGGATTTGACGTAAGGATTCGCTCGACTACCAGTCTATACCTCAAACCTGAGATCACAATCAAATAGTTAAAAACAGAATCTTATCATGAATAAGCCACATTGACATTTGTCCAATGGCCTTCCTCAGCCTCCCCTCTGCAGCGTGTTGGCATTTCACCCCTCTGCTGTGCCAATATGTCCTCCCCCTCACTCACCAACTCTCTCTCTGTCTCTCTGTCTGAAGCCAATCTGATTTGCCCCTGGGCTTCTGTCGGCAGAAAGAGGTGATAAACACCGCAACCATGACAACCGGCGAGCCAGATACACGCCTGAGTTCCTGTGTCCTAATGGCTTTACTTGGCATCCTCTTCTCCTTTAATTCATCAAGTCCAGCCTTTCACCTGAGCTGATATTAAGGCACTCGGGACAGATGAAGGCGCCGTGGATCCACTACAGTTTGAGCTGTCTCATCCTCTTCTTTTTAAGATAAACTGGGGTAGGTCTATCAACGTGTGAGATGAAACAGTGTAAATGCTAAAACCTCCACATTGCTTAAAAATAGACCTCTATTAGTCACTGAATAAATATTTCCTCAGCCTGATTAACAGAAATGTTAGCATATTGATTCCTCTGACGTGCTCTAAGGCAGTCAGACAAAAAGTGAAAGCACTAGGCGGATTCCTCACAAACATATCCTATTGATCACTAATGGAGCCCCTGTGAAAACACTATATGAATGATGTTTTCAGAGCAAAGTTCTTGCACCAAGCGTAGCAGTGCTCGGCTTTCATCGCAAGGCCGTGGTAATAGCGAGGATAAGCAGCCTATTAGAGCTGTGTGAAAGTGCCTTTACATGCCTTGCCACATGAAAACTTTCAGGGCAAAATGGCAGGCTTGAGTTAGTGATCGATTGGACAGGCCTCTGCGAACCACGGACCTCCCCTTTCACTGGCAACACACATGGCCTTTTCATGGGAGGGTAGAGTGTATTAGAGCGCCTTGCGTCGTAATAATTCCACATTTTTTCCACTTTTGTGCTGCGCTCTATGACTGAGCTCAAATTGAAGTTCAGATCGGGCACCTCAGGCCTCCCTAGAAAAATGTGTCTGTGTGAAAACGCAATGTAGAATGCAACCAGCTGAATCACTGTAGGTATTATGAATTTATCCTCCTCTCCAGTAGCTTCCTGTAGAGTCATTGAAGGCAGCAGCAGCAGCAGCAGCAGCAGCAACGAGTCTTTACCTTAAGATTCCAGGGGGCAAGGTTCCCACAGCAACTGATTTGAATCCTAATTAAAACAGGAGATTTGATTAATTAGCTCAACGATGTGCATGAGAGTGTGTGTGTGTGTTGCATGGCTGTCTGTATGTGGCATGTGTGTAGGAGTGGGCATGTTCTCGTGAGTCACAGTGTATCGTGTGTGTGTGTAGTTATGCTAAATGAGGAGGGGGTGTTATATGCCTATATGTGTGTGTGTGTGTGTTTATGAGTGTGTTCACAAGCCTCTGGGTAATGCTGTGAATCACTACTGTGTCTCCGGCATGTGTGTTCATGTGTGTGTGTGTATGTTTCATGTCTCCCGGGAGGCTTGTCCTTGCCTGCAGTACTACTGTGTGAATCAGAGGTGAGTCTTCTGGAGTTGCCCTCTGCTTTAATCTGGAGCTAATGACAGAACCACCTGCCCTCCTGGCCATCCCTCCACCTCTTCCTCACCCCATATCTATCCCCTCTATCTGTGGGCTCCTCTCCCCTCCACTCCACTTCACCCCCTCTCCCATCTCAGCCAACCCATCACAAACCCCCAAATGCCCACTCCTCATTGCCTCCCTATCGCTCTCTCCCACAACTGGCCTGTTATTTTTTCTCCTTCCCTGCTCTCTTTCTCCTCCACTTGCTTTCTACTCTTTCCCACAGAGTGCAGGGTGCCCTTGCCCGCCTCTCTGATTGCCTCATCCCACTCTGTAACTAGAGAACTGGGGGCAATGCAGGCCCCAAAGAAACTAAGACACGTGTTAAGGGACAGCGCAACAGTATGTGTACAACGTGTAGCTTTAAGGAGATTTTCTGACCCGTGGATTGGCAGGGGAGAGGACTAAACCACGTTCACACTCTCAGTGTGTCTGCTTGTCCTCGAGTATTGAGTGTGTGCGCATCCACGCGTGCAAGCCAGTCCCATTGGATGTCTTGTGAACAAAAGCATAATTTGAGTGAGCTAGGTAAAACGGGATGACCACTTCGTGCACGGAGGAAGAGAAGATGGAGTGAGCAGGGAGAGGAAAACAAAAGGGAGCAAATCAAAGAAGGATTGGCATGTAAACCAGTCTGAACTGACAAGAGCTCACAGGAGAATCAAAGGAAGAAAGCAAAGGAGGGAAGAAAGGGAGATAAAAAAGGAAGAAGGGAAGGAAGAAAGGGGAGGGAAACAGAAAGAATCTTAGTATGATCTGACAGAAATAATTCAGATGGGAGAAAAGAAAAGGCTTTGGAGAAGGAGAAAGCGGAGGAGGAAGAAAGGAGAAGTGGCTGGAGTGAAACAGCATGAATCCCCATCCATTTCAGCACTGGACAGCTCCACAGACAGCACTAGGCCAGTATAAATAGATCCCCTACTTTAGAGGCCCCATCAACGCTCCAAAAAAGTGCTTTATGTGCTCAGAGCGGCTCCTGCCCCTAGAGAACAGACACGCAGGTATCTGATGGTGCCTGATAACCATCTTCTCTCAGTTCCTCTCCGTTTGTTTTCTTAATTTAAGGGAGCCTCCACGGTTCAGCGGCAACACTACGGTGAGGAAGGCGGGTGTTTTTTCTCCCAGATTCTCCGTCACAGGGCATTTTTACGCTCTGAGGTAGACGATATGGCCTCAGGTCTGGGATCATATTATGCCTGCCACCGATCTGGCATCACCAATAACAGAGCTGGAAATAATATCCCAGTTCCAGAAAAACCTTATTTATATACATCAGCTGCAGCCCTGCATGGTAGAGGTGACTGAGATGCGTGCGTCTGTAAGCAGTCTCCATAAATGAATGTGACTGTGCATACATGCCCTGCATCTGCCAGCCTGTTTCCATTGCAAGATAGCGTTAAGTAGCCTTGTGGGGAAGCTGTAATACAGCCTAATGCACCTGAGAGCCCTGAAATCTATAACCATCATCTACATCTTCCTGATATTACTGGAACCGTCTCTGTTACTGTTTCTGATAGGAATCTCCAGGGAGAGCTCTCCCCTCCACTGCTGTAGGGAGAAGTATGGCGAAAGAGAGAGAGAGAGAGCGAGAGAGAGAGAGGGGAAGGGGGAGAGTGTGTGTGAGGGAGAGATGCACCTCTCCATTTCCTCAAGGTGATTCACCTTAATGCACGCTGAAATCAATGTGAAATTGAACTGAAAATTGAACTTTCAGCTCAGTAATGTGGAAGACATGTTGTTATTAAATCTTTTCCTATAACCATGAAAACGGCAGACTGATATTTGAACGCTTTTGAATGCTTGTTTCCAACACTGTGGCACCATGGTGTCCTTGATGGAGACCCCTGCCATGGGGGGACCCCCAGGCTTCACACAAGGGGGGGCTGCCTATACCTGCCACTTAGAGGCAAGTATTGATGGAGCAGCGGCCACCTATAGGCTGTGATTAGCTCGGTGTTGGAGGCGCTGGTTGGTTGGTGGGGGGGCTTTATTGCTCTGGCATCTGTTGCGCCCACCGCCTCCATTTGGCAGACAGGTGTTCTGATGTAGGCCGCGCAGACGTCCAGGCCTCCCTGTAATCTCCGCTGTGCCCCCCATAACAGTCACCACAGTTTTCCCGACTGATGCTGCGTGCGTGCTAGCCTCTCTCTCTCTCTCTCTCTCTCTTCTCCTTCTCTCTCGCGCGCGCGTGTGTGCGCGACGAAGCCAGCTGGCACGAGTCGCCATGGTAACACACACCGGTTTCACGAAATCCGTCGGTGCTTAAGGGCAAGAGGAGAGATGAATAAACTAATGAGATTATAAATTATTGTCGGTATAGCTGAACAGTCGGGGTATTTTTACCAGACTGCACACGCGGGCAACGTGAGGAGAAAGTTTATGGGGCCCATTGTCTGTGACTCTGTTGTGTCTTCCGTAATCTGTTTATGATGAGGAACTGAAGTGGCTTCTCTGGTGAGGAAGAACACCACCCTGCGCGCTTTTTATGCCTCATATACAAACTAGCAGTTGCGCGCCACCTTATTGCATGATTAATTCCCCCCCCCCACACACACACACTCACACACACACACTCACACTCTCCCCTTTTTTCTTTTTTTTTCTCCGCTATGAATTACCCAGTTGTGTTTGAGATGAAGAGAGGATTCTCCATCACTACGCAGGCTACAACTCCGCGCATTGCACGCCTGTCCAGCGGTCCAGTGCCGCAGCTCCCACGGGCTGCACTGTGGAGAAGCGGACCTGCATCCTAAAGCCAATCGGGTTTTTTATCCTCCTCTTTCTCGCTCTCTCTCTCTCTCTCTCTCTCTCTCTCTCTCTCTCTCTCCCGGTTTTTATCCTCCACCTCATTGCAGTCTTATCACGTCCCCCCCCTCTCTCCTCTCTCTCTCTCTCTCTCTTGCTCTTGCTCTGCGCCCCCCCAACCTCCCCTCCTTCCTCCTCCAACCCCACCCCCCCCTCCCCATCCGCCTCAGCCGCTACAGGAGAGGAGAGAGAGGGAGAAGAGTGCGGCTGAATGTGAACGACATGTCGACAGTCAGCCTCTAAAGTGTTTTCTCGGTCGTTCCCTAATTCTTTGGCGGCGGACTGAGTGAGTATTACCCGCATCCCTGCTCTGCTAAGCGTCGCTGTGTGGATCAGAGAGGCTGGTGGGGAGAGACAGACAATGGGGAATGCAATTGGATTGCGTTACTCTGCCAAGGATTTTCATACATAGCCTGGTAAATGTCTTAATGGGTTCTGTTAATGACTAGGCTGTTTAATTGGTCATGCTTTAATTCTACTAACTATTACAATTTGTGTGCTGTAATGTTAGGGGCTAATTGATTTTCTTGGAGGGCTGTGTGGTGGGCTATCCAGGCTGATAGCCCCCATACATTTGATCAGTGATGCTGCTGCTCGCCTGATAGTGCGGGTCTGTGCTGGGAGCAGGGGCCCATGTAAAAGCCAGTGTGAAGCTTTGGTGAGGCTCTGTGTATTCTGACCGACAGAGAGGACGGAGAGGTAGACACTGGAATTATGTGACATGAATAATATGGTGAAGAATAAGCAGTGACCGTCATCTCTGGTTGGCTTGCGTCAGTGTGCAGGTCTAGAGGAGAGAGGAGGGAAGAAGGAAAAAAAAACTCAGAGTCAGAGAGACTCAAGAAAGACAGGGGAGGGAAGCCACACCTGTGTCAGGCCTGTTTTTTAGATGGACAGACAGACAGTAAGACAGACAGAGTTTTAAATTCTGCTGTGCTGTCACCAGTCAACACTCAAGTCCTTTCCTTTCTTGTTACCATAATGATGCAGAGCTATGCCGACTGCTGACTAGTCCACTCGGCTGATTGGAGAAAGAGGGCTTGAGTGTTGACTGTGTTTCTTCTTATTAAGGAGAGATGGCCGTCCACCAAAGCAGAATCTAACAGGAGGGATCCCAGTGGTCTATCTGGACTCGGTATCGATCTCCTCTGTGCAGGGGGGCTTCGGGCCCAGCAATAAACAATGCATTTTCTTTGACGAAAACGAAGACCCACTGGGGCTGTGAATGGGTTGTATTCTGTATTGTATTCCAATTTGTCAAACACTATTGAGCACGTTGGCCTAGATTGTGCTGTGTTTCTTGTGTGAAGTATACATGCTCCAAACGCTGTGATAAATGGGTGGATTTTTCTCTCATCTTACAGGGGAAAATGTGTTTTTCCACTCCTCTTCATGCCTTTATTGTAGGATTTTGTCCAACAAGTATTGCAGCAGCTACACTGGTTTGTTATGAAAGCACACACTCATCTACACGTGTCTAGCTACCTGTTTCTGTACTTGGCAGGCTATAAAAGCGTACTTTTTGGATATGGTTTGACCTTTTTCACATTGTTTTCAACACACACACACACACATACACACACACTCTGGTAACTTGGCTCCAGCGCTGCTTCTCTGTGAGGCAAGCGTACATTGTGTGCAGGGCGAGAGGAGGGCTTTGATGTAATCAATATCAGATTTCAGCTGTTTCACTGTGAGCTCTCATCCTGAGTGGCAGCCTTGACTGACTTCTTACTGCTTATGCAATCCCACTCCTCTCTCCCACCTCACCCGTTTCGCCTTCCTTTGTACCCACTCTCTGCCCATTACTCTTTCTTTATCTGTCTGTCTCTCCTCTACTCCATTCCTTCACCTTGTTCCCATTTTTTCCTCCTCCTCCTCCTCCTCCTCCTCCTCCTCCTCTTCTCATTTCCACCTCTCCCTTCATCTTTCCCCCCGTCATAATCATCTCTGTGATTGCTCTTCCTCTCCCGGGCGGGTGATGTTTTCACTGCTGCCTCCTTGTCTAACTCGCTGATGCTAGATTATTGCTGTATGATTACAGCTACCATACCATGATGATCATTATTGCATTTCGCATGGCAGTGTTCAACACTGTATGAGCAGATCGAGATGCTTTATCCAATTTAGATCTCATTAAGACTTGAGAGGAAATATCCTCATGCAAGACTCACATCTCAGCTGTTTTTTTCTTCTTCTCTTTTTTTTGTTGTTGGTGTTTTTGTTTCCAGGACTACTGCAACTCCGTTCTCATTCTCTTGTTATTGCAGTGCCATTCTCATCATCATCACCACCACCATCACTATCACCATCAGTTCATGTTCCTGCCCGTCATTGCTCTGCCTTCACATCAGCCCTTTTGAAAATTTTGAAGAGTTTGGATTCGCAGTGATGCTTTCACTCCATTGTCATTATCACAATAATGATTATGACAGGACTCGATGGCTGTTGATAACCTAACATACTCTGATACGCTGATTGATAATATGGGGTATTTTGTGCCTCATCCTTCTGTTCTCTGATTGCCATTCATCTTATTAAGTGGAGATGTTCATTAGACAAAAGCATTATGAATCTGATTTGCACCCACCCATATTCATATTGCATACATTAAAACAACACATGCATGACATTTCGGCTTCACCGGGCATTTGAGAGTACAGATGAATATATTCATCACAAGCTTATCCCCCCTCCCCCCTCCCCACTTGACCAAAAAAGCCACTCTTAAAATGATAAAACGTGATTCACAGGTGAACTTGCCCACCCTTTGTTTTGCATTTTCAATGTCAGAATTAGAATTTTTTATTCAAAAGCAATGTCGTAGCAGCTGAGAGATTGCTCCGCTTGTTGTTTTTGAATCAATATTTCCTGCTTTGGTGAACCTTGTAAATCCAAAGCCTTGTTTGCCTGTGCTGAATGCGTCTTACCTATGTTTACGTTGGTTGATTCTGCTCATATCACTTCATACTGTGGCCTCCAGTTGGCCTATACATCATTATTCCAATGCAATGTAATTCTTTGCCCGTGGCACTCCGGTCTGTGTGATTTAACTTTTATTTTCTGACTGCTTTAGTATGCTTGTGATGTATCATCAATCTGATTCATCCTGAACTGACCTTTGCTGTTGCCTTCCTGCCTGTTTGCCCTCTTTTAACTCTGTTTGTGTCTGTGTGTGTGTGTGTGTGTGTGTGTGTGTGTGTGTGTGTGTGTGTGTGTGTGTGTGTGTGCGCGTGCGTATGTGAATGTATGCATGTATGTGTCGTACCTCGCCGTGCAGTGCGGTGAAGGGCCGATGCCGGGCTGTAGCCCCAGGCTGCTGAGCTGAGAGGGAGAAGCAGGAGGATGCAGTGGGTCGCTCTAGCAGTGGCCCTGGGGTGTGTGTGTCTGTCCCGGGCATCGCACACCCCCACCCCTACCCCCACCTCCACACACACCCCTCTAGTGGACAACTCCGAGGAGGAAGTGGACGAGCCGTGCTTCGAGCCGTGCACGTGCGAGGTCAAAGAAGGCGTGCTGCATGTGCACTGCGATGGGCGGAGCTTCACTAATGTCAGCCAGGTACCATCTCTGTTCATTTATCTGGCCGTGCACGTGGAGCTGCACCACACTTTATTGCGCTGTCACTTATCTCATTACCATACTGTATCTCCAAGTCTAATATCCTGTCTCTTATGTGGCTTATGGGTGTTTCTAACGGTTAAATTCATGTAATTAATAAGATAACTAATCAGACCTCTAATTAATCATTCAGGTGTCACAGTCTTGGGTCCGCCCTTTCAAACTCAACCTCCAGAGGAACTCTCTGAGGCGTCTCTATAGCAACGGGTTTCAGCACCTTGGCAACGCAGTGTCGATAAACCTTGGCAACAATGCACTCCAGGACATCCGAGTGGGAGCTTTCAACGGTTTGGCCAAACTGAGACGTCTGTACCTCCACGAGAACAAGCTGGAGGTCTTCAGAAATGACACCTTTGCTGGTTTAGAGGCTCTGGAATACCTCCAGGTAGGCTCGAGACTACAATCCATGTTGATTATCCATGATTGACAGGGTAATGACAAATTCGCCCAAGATTACAATAGATAGCTGTGACAGAAATAGTCAATGGCTAGCGGGTGGTTCAAGTGAAAGAATCTTCTTAAGATCTCTGTGCATTATCACATAAGGAGTGCTTTACCTTTTTCCTGCTGCATTCAGTCTATTTTTCAATTGCAGCAATTATATGTTCACCACAGTTCTCATTTTACCTGCAGGCCGACTACAATGTGATCAAACGAATCGACAGTGGTGCTCTGAGATTCCTCTACAAGCTCCGGGTTCTCATCCTCAACGACAACCTGATCCCTGTCTTGCCTGCTCATCTGTTCAGGTTACATTTTGATTATTTTACTGCAAAGGTTTTTGAATTATGCTGGGACTGTTCTGTGAAAATATCAGTGTCAGACACAATTAGCCAGCCCGTACTGCTGTTGAATTAATGTTTTGGTGGCATACTATTTCATATCACAAAAGATGGATTAATCATCAGATAAAAAAGCAGATTCCTCGGCAATGGAATGTGTGAGCTTTTATTTTTCGCTTACTATCATGTTGTCCTTTCATCTAACCTAGCTAACTATACCCCCCTCCTCCTCCTGCTCCAGATCTGTGTCTCTGACTCATCTGGACCTGCGGGGAAACCGTCTGAAGAGCCTGGCATATGCTGGGACCCTGGAGTACGTTGGTCGCTCCCTGATGGAGCTGCAGCTGGAGGAGAATCCCTGGAACTGTGGCTGCGAGGCAGTGCAGCTACAGCAATGGCTGGGTCAGATCCCCTACACGGCTGTAGTCGGGGACGTTACCTGTGAATATCCCTTCCACCTTCACGGCAAAGACTTGAGGGAAATCCCTCGCAAGGAGCTGTGTGCCGACCTCCCAGATAAAGAGCTACAAGCAGAGGGGGGTGGTCCATCAGCAGGATCACAGCCCCAACATTTGCCCCCAAACTCTAAACCCAACTCCCACCCTGGGCGAGTCAGGCCAACTAAACCCTCCTCCATGGTCCACGGATCCCGCCAGAACACTCATACTTCCTCCACTTCATCGTCATCTTCCTCAGCCGAGCGCAAAGACAGGGACAGGCACCCGAGGCCGACTAAAAGGCCTCGACCCTCCAGAATATCCCCTACACCTCGCAGCCTGATGCCCAACCAGAATCCCCCCGTGGCAGGCTACCAAACACGACCCCCCATCCCCATTATTTGTCCCATGGGCTGCACTTGCAATCTGCACATCACAGACCTGGGCCTGACTGTCAACTGCAAGGAGAACGCCTTCCTCAACGTGTCTCAGCTCACACCTCGGCCTCTGAACGGCCGCAAGCTGTACCTGAGTGGAAACTTAATTCAGAGGATCTACCGCACAGACTTCTGGAATTTCTCCAGCCTTGACCTGCTTCACCTGGGGAACAACCGCATCTCTTACCTCCAGGAGGGGGCCTTCTCCAGCCTAACAAGCCTAAGGAGCCTCTTCCTGAATGGGAACAACTTAGAGAGACTCAGCCCGCACATGTTCCTGGGGCTGCAGAATCTAAGGTAGGATTAATTTATTTATTTAGATCCCTCACGGAGTTTCAAGCACGTTGCTTGCACAGCACTTCAAACAAATTCATAAACTGAAGCCACATGTCAGCTTAGGTATTTAGACATTTGTTTATAAGTATGTGGAAATTAATTTCACTGTAATACTGGCACAGCACAGAGCAGAACATTTTGATTACCATTATACTGGAGTTTGACTGAAATGAAAGATGCCCATTCTCTTCCAGGAGTGTCATTTGTTAGTCACACTGCTTCAGTCGAGGTGTGAGCATGGTATGAGTGACAACGTGAAAATTAATGTTTTTTTATATTTGCATACAGAGGTGTTGATAAGGCGGTGAGACGTCTGGATGATGCCAGGAATTAGCTTTTTTGGGTTATTATAATAAAACGAGTCGTCAGAATGATGCATATGTATCATTGTCAGATTAAGCTCACAAAGATAATTCCCCTGCAAATAATGTATACAGCAAATATCTGCTGCCAGTAATTGTATTTATCCAGTGAGTTTAGCATTGTGCTGTTTGATTAAGACAACAGGTCAACTTTCATCCTCTGCTAAATAAAGAATGAGGTTTGTGCCGTGATACCTTCGAGTTGAAAACTAGCTCCACTGTGTCTATATTTTAAGATAAAGTTCAAAAAATCTACAGACCCATTCATTTGACCATTAATCAATAATAAAGATCCTCTTAGGACATTCAAAAAGTCTTCCTCTTAACCTCTCGTTAGCCTTTGTTAGTGAGTCTAGGGCGAGGGGGGCTGGTATATATTCAAACCACATCCATCACTTATTTCAGCAGTGGAAGTATATTGGATGACTAGCATGCAAGGAAAAGTCTCCAGTCATACTTAATTCTTCCCTGAGTTTACACTGACTTCTATTATTGACGGAGAAAAAAAACAGAAAAAACCTTTAGAACCGATCAGCTAATCAACTGTGAGCAGCAAAAGTGCAGATTAAGTAAAATTTCCGTTGTGACTTATTTACATAAATATTCATTAATGTAATTATAATACTTGGATGCAGGAGTGATAAATGACCTACACAGTACTTCAAAATGGATGGTGTGAAAATTCACTCTGCTCTAATGAAGAATCACTTATTTATACAAAGTTAAGACAAAGACAGATAAACTTATTGGATTTTTGAAATGTTATTATATTTAACATACATTTACTGTCAGACATCCCTAAGTACTGAAGTGCAGTGACAGTTTTCTTTAACATAACCTCCTAGTTCCATAGTGCATCTTCAGTTTCTTTGCATGTATACAGAAACACTGTCCCCTTCCCTTTTTAGGTACCTTTATTTTGAGTACAACGAGATACGGGAGATCGATCCTGGTACCTTCGACTCCATGCCGTCCCTCCAGCTGTTGTTCCTCAACGCCAACCTGCTGCGGAGCCTCCCTCTCGGAGTATTTTCTGGAGTTAATCTGGCTCGCCTCAATCTGAGAAACAACCACCTTCTGCAGCTACCCATGGTGGGTGTGCTGGAGCACCTCACCGGACTGGTGCAGGTTGGTGCAAACCTATTCGCTGAATGATTGAGGTTTCAGTGCTCGAACAAATTATTGTGATTTGCTAACCTGCTCGTGCGTAAACGAGTCACATACCCGGCACAAGGCTTTTAGCCAATTTAGGCAAAACAACAAGCATTTTGTTGAGTGACAGTGGCAGGGTGAAAAATGGAGAGTGTTGAATTGGATCACCCCTGTTGATTTACTAAACGAAAATGTGTATAATTATACAGAGTATATTTGTTTATAATGTCAGACAGATGATATTAAAAGAACTAATAGATTGCCAAGACACATTGCATTATCACAGCTTGATGAAAGAAACAAAACAAGCTGCAATCTTGGATCAAGCCATAGCCACATTTAAAACTTCTGGCAGCCCCTGATCTCCTGGCCTCTGGCACAGCTGTGGTTTTCTCCGTCATCTGCATCGTCTGTTGTTTTGAGAGCTCTGCTGTGGCATGTGGGACTATGGTTGCGCCTCAGGTATTCTAATTGGAAAATTGCAATTGACTCGATTTGCATAAGTGGTCTTAATAAATCAGGAGCTAAACTGGAGAAAGCTGTACCCCTCAAGTTTTGGAGCATAGTTGTAAATAACATTTTAAAAAAAAATCTACTGTATAAACTACAGTATGTGTTAAATTTGCTGTTGGTGTTAGACCTTACTTTGCATATTTGACTGGAGAATTATGTGACTGGTTGCTGTACACAACGGACCGAAACCTGAGGTATTACATGTTTTTTTATCCTGCCTCCTCTCACTTCAGCAAATTTAGTGTACCAGGCTTTTCTTAGACAGCCAGAGTAGAATGAGGTAAGGTGGGTGTGGATTAGCCTGAATGTCATTGTGAATTTCCATTTTACTTTGCTCCATGAAAAATTCCCAATTCTAGGCAGTGTGGGTGAGGCTGGCGGTTCAGAGGATGTTTCTGAATGTTTGCTCAGGGGGAAGGACGACAGCGGTTTATGGAGCAGGAGGAACCATGTAGAAGTGTATTATGTTTTTGTGCTGGTATACGCCTCTGATGTCCAAGAGCATTAAAGCATTCACCAAATGGAAGTACACTGTGGGCCATATTCATAAAGCCCAGCGGTATCACCATTGTAGAGCTCAAAATCTGTAGCACTGTAATTGAATTCATTCATTTACCGGGGTTGTTATTACTCTAACAAAGCCACATTAGCGCTGCCCATGGACTGCAGAAAATAATGTGACAATGATATCACCTGTTGACTTACTGCTGGTCTGTTTGAAGCTGGGGAAGTGGGATTTCTGGGCGCTGGCATGTGTTTTTGGAGCCAGAGTTTGCACAGTAAAATCAAAGGGTAATACAGATGGAAGCAGGGTGAAGCTCGCAGCTGCTGTAAAAAGCAGTCCTTTTTGATAATCATAAAGCAGCAGCATGTATAGCTTAGAGTCATTGTCACCATCAAGAACAGGATTATACAGTTACACCCACTTACATGCAAAGCTATTTTTGAAAAATACCTCCCTGATGTCACTGTTATTTAAAATAACCATTAGTGAGACATTACAGAGGAAATTCAAATTCATATGGTGTCTATAACTTCTTTAAACTAGTATAACCAGAGGAAAAGTCTTCCCTCTGAAAACCGGTGAATTATAAAATCAAGTCAGGTGAATCAGCATCGGAGTGGATGCCAGAAATATGTACGGTTCAGGATTACATATGTCTTTCTCAGTAAATGCAACGAACATGTTGTGTAGTGGGGCAGCTCTGTCTCATCACTGCCAGCTGCAATGAAGAAACTTGCCCACAGCCACATCTCACCTTGTGTGATGTCGGATAGAAAAACAGTACACACATCACGGAGACTGGTGAAAACAACGCACTCGTAAAGGGCAGGTTTGACAGGAAAAACATTCCATTTAACGCCCAACTAATATTCACCTGATTGCCAGTTCTACTTGAGTACGTGCTCGTCAATATATATATCTATATATATATAGATAGATAGATATAGATATATATATATACACTATAGTTTGATTGAATTAGTGAAACTTTTTCAAGGTGTTAGGCACAAACAAATCTGTAATGGAATAGTTTGAGATTTTGTGAAATGCGCATATTTGCTTTCTTGCCGAGTTAAATGAGATGATTGATACCACTCTCGTATCTGTTGAATATGAAGCTACAGCTTGCACCCAGTTAGCTTAGCTTAGCTTAGCAGAGAGACTGACCTGTCAGCACCTCGAAAGCTCAGTAATTAATATGTGATATCTGGTTTGTTTAATCAGGACAAGAAAAGTAGAAAAAAACTACACTGCACTGCTCCCTCCAAGCTAAACTGGTTATACTGAATTATTATTGTCACTGACGGAGCCATTAGCTTTTCACAGTGATACAGAGTATCTTACGTCCTGGTTAAAAGCTAACTGAAACCATGAATCATACCATAAAAACAATCAGGATGTTATAGGTTTGTTGTAAATAGGTGACTGGTGACCTATTAACCAGTTATAAACACTGCTAGAATAATATTTTATACAGAACTGAATTGAATAGTTTCAGACCTCATTGGTAATGCCGTCGCTTAAAGTTAGCTTATCTTAAATTGACATATTATGTAGTCTGTGACATGAATCTTAAACGAAACTAATTCATTATTTCCACCTATAATACTTACTGACTCTTACAAGTTGTTATCAGACAAGCAGTTTTACTATAAAAGCTAATATTTAGCCATAGCGGTAGGTGGCTATCGGCGAGCCTGGAGTTAGGGCAGTCAAATGATGCTGAGTTGAGTATTAACAGATTTGATTCTAAAAACTGAAAGTCAAGTAATGTAGAGTTAATTATAACCTCTAATGATCACATTTAGTAATTAAAGAGTGCCTGTCAGTAGAAATTCTAGCCATTATTTTCAGTTGGATGGTTTATATGCTGTGTAGAGTGTCTGGCAAGTATAGCAATGTATTTTCTATTTCAGGATGGAAGACGGACTTCAGTCTCACTGACTGTCTGTCTCACTTTTTCTAATTTAGTGAATGTCAATAAAGCCAGTTTACAACACAACATGCCACTGCACTGTAAAATAAACAGGCTTTTCTCAGTAATTTAGTATTAATAACCACTTTTATCGAATTATCTGTAGGGGTGGATGACCTGTACACTTAATTTATTATTTATATAGTATTATTTTGATATCATTTTGTTATGATATCCACTCAAGTATTCGTAATCACAGTCTAAAGTTGCATTTTCATTCCACTGAGTCAATTTTTTTCTTTTTACAGGAATTTCTCTATATCTTGTAATATTTACAAAAATATGTATTGTCAAATCATGCTGTAACACATTTTAGTCAATATAAGTTTACTTTACTTTTACTTTTAAATTTCTTTAAACATGAAAACTGTGAACCACAAAATTTGGATACGACAACTGTAATCCGTTAGAGTTACAGAGAAAAGATGTAATACATATTACAGTTAGGAATGCAATTTTATACATTTCTAAATAAAAAGCAATATACTACCATGCACAGGGCGTACACAACCACTTAATGAGTCTCACAGCAACACTCTGGTCTCGAGTACAACCGTAATCTTACAGTTGCCAATTGATTATCATGGCCTCTAGTGAAAACAAAGGGTTTCACTGGGTGGAAATTTCACCACTATTTGTTATTTATTTTGCCGTTAAAGCAGGAAAAGGAGGAACAAACTCACAGTACAGTGCAGGTTATGCCTTCCAGCTGTGATGTCTATAGGCTACTGCCTGAATTTGCTTAATGACAAGCAAGTTTTTCTTTAAAAATGATCCTTAACTGAACAGAGGTTTCTTTTTTCTTTTCTTTTCTAGAGGTTTCATTGTTCTGCTGTCTTACAGAATAAATCAAAGTCATCTTATAGATATTTATTTTGTCATGTTTGCATTTTTGGTATAGAAGTAACCCAAAAGTAACAGAGAGTAACCAAGTTGCATTACTTTAATATTGTGATACTTACTTTTTAAAAGTAACCCTCCCAAGCCTGATGGAAAGGTAATAAACTAAAATGAATTATTAGATTATTGGTCATCCCTATGTATGTATTGTGAAAATGTGATTATTTTTAAATCTTCTTTTTAGTGTGTGTGAAAATGGCAAAGATACAGATACAGATTCTAATTCCTGTGCATTTTATTGTTTTGTACCGTATTTTACTACAGGTAACAGCACAAACATGCTCATCGTGTCATGTCTACATTCTTCCATTTCATTTTTTGGCACATTTCAAACACAGAAAAAGCCTGATATCTAATACGGCAGCATTAAAAGTCAGTGTTTATTTTCCCTCAGAATAAAAGATCAAGGGCTTCTTACTTGACTCACCATGTTGCACTGATGTTCAGCAATCACAGAGAGATACCAATTTCTCCACAGACAATAGCCTCAATGGACCAGAAACTCTTGCTCTTTGCTCTTTGCTATTACTACCGCTCTCTCTCCACCTTCATGAAACACAAACTGCTGGATAGAACAAGTTCATGCCCCTTCTCAAGGGGTTGTTGAAGTCGCTCTGGGAAATATGGGAAATCACTATCTGAGGTAGAAGTCGACGAGGCAGGCAAAGGGAGCGTGAGTACACTATGAAGTAAATTACACTTTGAAAAAAAAAAGCCTCCTGGAATGCACTGAACATCACAGGCCGATGAAATCTAGCTGCGTAAGAGTATCCATGAGTGAATTGCTTTGACGCTTTTCTCTGGCTTTGTATGTATAACACCTAAAATATACTGTACCCATGAAGGCAGTTTTCCAATACACACATTTTCAGAAAAACAACATTTTTTTTTGCGTATACTGCAGATTCTTCTTCTAATGCACTCTTTTCATATTCGCTCTGTGTATTATTCAAAAGACAATGAAACACATTCATCAGTATGGAGAAGGCTTGGCAAGCTGAAGCTCAGGGGCGTCTTGTCACCAGAGACTACAGCAAAATCCCTGCACCAGAATTTCCAAATACCTGCTTATATTGACTATATTTCTGTGAACTAAGTGGAGCAATTCTAATGACTGACAGGATATTGCTGTTTGGGCAAAGTGATCAATTATAAGACACATGGCTCGCTGAGAACATCCTGAATTTATCCCCTGATGAGATTTCTTTATAGCTCCTGAGTAAATTTTGGACAATAATTGCTTGATCTTTGATCTCTGTCATAATGATAAAAACCCACAAGAGCAAATTTACTCTTCCGCAGCTAAAGAATGGCAGTTTCCCCCCAAAATTGATGCCATTATTTAAGTCAGGTTCAATATATTTTCTGACAAAAGAGGTTTTTCTTTTTGTGTTTTTCATGAATTTCTTGCTGAATAATATCACAAGCAGCATCTAAACACTGACTGCTGAGACCCAAGGTGGCTGATGTACTGAGTATACTGCGTGTTAATGATACAGTTAGTATCATTAACATACTGTTTTTGACTTTATAAGTGGAGTGAGTTTACTAAAAGCCTTAACAAAAAATATGTAATAGTTTCATGCACTCGCATTTTCTCTGCGACTGTATACTGAATATACTGCGTGTTAATGATACAGTTAGTAATGATACAGTTAGAATCATTAACATACTGTTTGTGACTTTATAAGTGGAGGGAGTTTACTAAAAGCCTTCACAAAAAAAAAATATAATGGTTTCATGCACTTGCATTTTCTCTGCGACTAGCACCTGTCGGGCTAACTGAGAGTCTATAATTTCCCTTCACAACAGAGCTTTGATTGACAAGTTGACAGCAAATCACACACTAGGTGACCAGGCGTATAAATTGTAAACGGTGTTGGACATGTTGGACAGATGCTTGCAAAAGAGAAGGGGATAGAGCCCTTGGGATCTGTGTGAAAGCAAACAATACCTGAAATAAAATGCTTCAAGAATTCCTACCAGATGGAAGATTATAGTTATGAAAGTCAAAAAACTGCTAAAACAAGCTGACATTTTGGTCTCATTCTAAATGTCACCTTGTTTTTTAATGTGCAGTCATGCTGAATTACAGCCCAGTTGTGTCACAATCATGCTGAAACATGGAAAACTGCACTTTTCAGTGAACCTTCAGTGTTCAAACTGAGTTAAAGCTGCAGCAGACCCTCCGGTCGCAATTATGTCATTATCAAAGCCACACAAAAGCCCACAGTGGGCTAACTCCAATAAAGCGAAGGAGCATCCTGTTGTTCAGCGTGAGGCATGGGGAAGTAGTCGTACCAAAGCTCCCACAGCAGCAATGCTGAATCATCTCAAAAAGCATCCATCTATTTCTGCAAGCCAGGGAGATGGCCTAACCAAATTAGCATGACAACATTTGTGCAAGCCTCTTGGAAGTGTGACAGAGAGAATATCAGCTTTCATTGCCAAAGTCATTGCTAAAGATATGGAACAGATCAGTTCTGCAGACAATACTATGTGATGTAAGTGATTCCCTTTGTGCATAATCTGCTTTACCCTTTTCAAAGTGTGGTAAAGTGAATATTTGAGTTTGTTTTAGGACAGACAATCAAAATAGCAGGCAGCGAGAAAATGGATTTACGCACATACCTATTGGATTATAGCACAGGGGAGAGTTGCATCACATCCCGTCTATTGTTAAAAAACAAACTGCTGTGATACTCTCACATGCTTGTCACACAGAACCTGCCGGTGAGTTTAGTCAATAACCACTTATATAAACTCGGAGTGGTCTTTATTGTAAACTGAAATATTCCTGTAACCTGCTGTAGTGCATGTGTGAACAGGTTTTAAAGAGAGCACTTGTGTTCGCTAGAAGTTGAATTGGTCACTGCTCAGCTTGTTCTCTCGAATCGCGCCTGTGCGCAGCCATTCAGGAAATGTGGGCACTTCAGTGTTTTGATGACCCTATAATGACGTTATTTACATTAATCAGTACTTTACATCATCTGCATATTTCACAAATTCATTTCAAGACATCAGCCATCGTGGAGAGCTGTATTCTATTAGGCAAATGCAGAAAAACTAATTTTCCATATATTCTAGCTGGTGAAAGGCAAAGGTAGCAGAGAAAACATAATTTTTCTTGTTGTCATCCTATTAGAGTGCGAGCTGCCGGATTATCCTTCAACATAAGAGACAGTTACCAAGTTACTAATATGTATCACACAGATGTCAGCTAAATTATCTATTTTGTGTTTACATTCCAAAGTGATTCATGAATTTGCATTGCATGGCAGACCAGTAATTAGTGTACTATTACACAATGACAGCATGATGTGGTGTTATGTGTTTTTCCAGGTGGACTTGCAGCAGAACCCGTGGGAGTGCAACTGTGAAGCAGCTCCACTGAAGCGTTGGCTGGAGGGTCTCAGCGCCGTGGTGGTGATGGGAGAGGTGGTCTGCCATTCCCCGGAAAAGACCAAAGGTGTAGACCTCCGCTCTCTCTCCATGGAACTTCTCTGCCCTGAGCTGGAGCCCCAGGAGGGCCAGGAACAGGAGGAGCAGACAGCCACCTCCACAGCTGCAGACAGCGGTGTATCGGTTGGCTACCCCGGCTCAGGGCTGGGGCCCCTGATCCCTCCCGGGAAGGATTCAATCCCACTGTCGGTGTTAGTGCTCAGCCTGCTGGTGTTGTTTGTGTCGGCATTCTTCGCGGCAGCGGCACTAATCGCCTACGCCCTGAGGAGGAGGGACAAGCTGCCGTTCCGTCGCCAGGGAGAGGTAGACTTGGCTGGCATCCAGATGGAGTGTGGAATCTTCACTGAGCAGACGCACCACCATCACCACCACCATCACCACGGCCTCCCAGAGACGCCACCTCTACCTCCGCCCGAACACAACCACGTCTATGACACCATCTTGCCCCCGGAGGCTGCGTCGAAAGGTCCCGACCCCGCCACAGCCTCGCACATGTGTAGCAACCCCATCTACAAAGAGGAGCAGGACGCAGCCGTGACACAGCGACCACAGCAGCAGCAGCAGCAGCAGCAGCAGCAGCAGACGTTTGCAGCTTCCAAAGAGAGCGAGGGAGGATACTGCTCTGCAGCGGATAAGGAGAGAGAGTGGACTCTGGAGGAATCCTCATCCCCCATCAACACAGTTACAGGAGCAATGGGACCGCTCGCCGGCCTCCACGGAAACGGCATCCTCTGCCCCACAGTGATCGACAGCCAGGGCCCCACCCCTAAGGTCGAACTGGTGGACTGCCTCTTCAGACTCCCTGCCCCTGAGTTCAGAGACCTGCCAGATCGGTACGCAAGGCCGCCGCCCCGCTACCCTCATCCCCAGGACTCTAAGCAGGATGCCAGACCCGACCAAACGCTCGTGGTCACCACCGCCAGCTCCACAGCAGGCGGTAGCAACAGCAGCCAGAGCGAGCAGGGAGCAGGAGAGCAGAGAGCCAGACTGAGGACCACACCAGACTACATGGAGGTGCTGGACCGCTCTTACCAGTTTTAACTCTCCTCCTTCTCTGCCTCCTCTTCCTGCTACCCCTTTTCTCTTGTCTCCTCATCATCTCCCTCTCTGGTGATGAATCATCCAGTAACAATGACTCCTGTACAGAGGCTGGCGTGGCTTTGAGAGGAGCCTGTGGGGGAGTGGGACTATACTACACACTATGTTTATTCCTGGATAACGAGCTGAGGTCAGTTTTTGTATTTTCCCCACTACTGGCGTATAGGTTGGTATTTGGCAAGGATTAGCTGATCCCAGATATCTGCCTGGAGGCGAAACTTCAGCTGCAGCTACTACAGAATTTTTCCCTCCATTACACCTCACGATCGTAAAGCACTGAGGCTCCGTTTTTTTTACTCAGAGCCACAATGAGCGGGAGACAGCGCAGTGGTGGTGGTGGGCGTTAATGTTCATATTATCACTCTCAAAAGACCTGTGTGGAGGAGAAACACACCAGCTCTTTGCAACATCAAACACAGAGTCATAAACTGTGACAGCCGGAAGGTGTGGAGCGAGCTGGGCGGACATGTAAGATGGAGACAACGTGAGAGGGAGAGAAATGACTGAAAACAGCCAAGTGCCTTAGCAATGAACAGCCAGCAGTGTGGTCAATGCTTATTTTTCTATGAATACAGATCTATTTATCTAAACAAAGAGGTTTGACTACCAACGGATGGGACGCTGATGGACGACTGAGACTGAAACCAATCAAAGCCGCCGAATAATTGCATTCCCTGGATGAGCCAAAAATAATAATATACCCAATCAATATTGGAGTTGTTTGTATGCAGTTCAGTTCATTTTCATCTCATCCAGTTAACTTAATTTGCTTATCCGGTTTGAATTTTTTACAGGGCTAGATGAGGGACATATCCAGGAATAGTTGGTTTGCTGTGTGAAATTCTAAAAAAGGTTCTGGTTTTATGGAGAAAAGGATACAGAAATTATTTTTCTTTAATGCAAGACAAAACCAAGGAAGGCCGACATACAGAAGGACATTGTGGCAATGGATGCACTCTGGATTTCTTAATCAGCCAGACTTAATGTGGCCACAAGGACCTCTGCTCCATGTTTTCTTTCACTGGACAAAGGCGCAGAGGTTACTGTATTTCTCAGAGGAAAATTGAATGGCAAAAAAATGGACAAAAAACCAGGATGCGAAGGCTTTTTTTTTTTTTTTGTCAAAAAAAAAGACAGACACTTCTATCAACTATCAATTATTATCTTTTACGGAGGTACCTTTTTATGCTTTCATCTCCTACCAATAGTAGAGGCAGTTGTGAATATATTTATTCTTAGTTTTTGCGTGTTGAAGCTCTCCTGTAAGGGATCATGTTATATTAATGTATAGGATGATTCTGCATCTGGTTCAGCCTTCTTACCGCCGACCCACGAAATACAATAAAGGGTGCTACGTAAAAAAAAACTTGCGTTGGCAGCTCCTGTGTAGCAAATTGATGCGCACACACACACAAACAACAAACACCCCCCCCACACACACACACACACACACACACACACACACACACACCACACACATACACAAATGTCCTGACCCCCATAAATGCACACTCACTCTCTCCGTCTCGATTGACTTAATAGTGCATGAAAGAAACGGCTCGAGGTATGCTAAGCCCGTAAGCTTGTCCACGCAGCGTGTTGGAGAGATGAGATGAGAGTTGAGTAAAGCTGGGAGCCTGCAGGGTTCCTCACATACTAAAGGATGGAGATAGAAGCTAATAGTGTGAAATTTACCACATTAATGGTATAAAATCAATACAATCTATTTGTGAAATAAGGACATGTAAGGCTGGTGGCCCTTTGGGCCAAGGTCGTGAATTGCTCAATCTCTGCCCGGCTCTGTTTCTTTCTTAATGATTTTCTCCATTGTCCTTCCCTCTTCCACTTTCATCTCTCCATCGGATTTTCTCTCCTCTTTTTTTTTCTCTTTTCTCTTTCTTCCCCTCCTCTTCTTCTCACCGTCCTCTTTTGTTCTTTCTCCTCTCCTCTATTTCCCCTTCCCTCTCTTTCTCTCTCGATGCTCTGGCTGTCAGCTCAGCCTCACAGGACAGACACAGAGAGATGCTGTTCTATATGCTGCTCGACACACAGGTAGCTCGCACTGAAGTGTGTCTACGTTTGTGTGTGTCTGTGTGTGTGTTTTTTTTTTGTTTCTCTCTGCTGTGCTCTTTCCATCCTTCGGTGATGAGTGCAGTTCTTCAGACGCCTCCTCACTCTCAGTGTTCAGAACTCTGTTGCACAGATAATCCCCCTGTGGGTGCGTTTGTGTGTGTGTGTGTGTGTGTGTGTGTGTGTGTGTGTGTGTGTGTGTGTGTATTCAGTGGGGTGTGCCTTTGTTTGTAGGTGTGTGTGTTTAAGAAAGTGTGTGAAGCTGGGTGTTTGTGCAGCTAGTTCTGTCTGTTTGTGTGCGTGTGCGTGACGGAGAGAGTGAGTGCGGCGGCACAGCCTCAGTCCAGCCTTAATCCTCTAAGCTGTGTAGTTCACTCATGCCACATCAGCCCCATTGTGTCTACAGACAAAGAAACCCAGTTAAAACTAAATGCCAGTTAAAGCAACAAACGACTAATTATAGCATCATTCTCTCCATCCTTTTCTCTCCCTCTCTTTCTCACTTTTTAACACTCCCTTCTCACTTCCTCTCCCATGAACGCCTTCTTTTTTTTTGCAACACTTTCTGTTCTGGACTTGTTCCAGCTTTTTTTGTGTGTGTGTGTGTGTGTGTGTGTGTGTGTGTGTGTGAGGATGTATTTTGCACTTGTGTTTCCCTGTATGTGCGTGTATGCATCACTGTGTATGTGTGTTTGACTATCTGACAGCTTTGCCATGGTTCATGTGTTTGGGTCCTGTCAGAGCTGTCCTGTCACTGTGTGAAAAAAATCATTCATTTCCCAGAGTCGAGGATGAAAGAGTCTTTAGACTTCAAACGCCTGTGGGCCTCTGTGGCTTAGATTGCCTCTCGCTCTCCCTCCACCGCCGTGTCATTTATTCCTTTAAAAAAAACAAAAAAAAACAGTGCGGCTGTGGCATCGGTTAAGTAGAGATGGCAGAGACATGGTGAGGAGCTGGACAATTAGCCTGATTAAAACACTGTCATTTTGCATAATAGATTTAGCCTGAGCTGCGATAGGCAGATCCTTTCTGAGTGAGCTTGTGTGTGTGTGTATGTGTGTGTGTGTGTGTGTGTGTGTGTGTGTGTGTGTGTGTGTGTGTGTGTGTGTGTGTGTGTGTGTGTGTGTGTGTGTGTGTGTGTGAAGGCATGAAACCATATTCTTCTCTGCATAAACATGCAGGGTATTAAAAATGCACAGTTGGGCATAGTTTGATGTCAGTGAAAAGAGATCTATTTAAAAGTCATGGTGCATAGCTGCAGAAGCTTTGGTGTTTGGGCATGACAAATAGTTGTGGTAGAGCTGGTCATCGCTCACAAACACACACAGATGCACACTCACACATAAACATTTACATCATTTTATCACTGCGTGTGAATGTGCGCACGCTTTGTTCTCCCACATACAAACAAAGTCCATTTAAATAAGTACACAAACTGTACATACGAGCTCACATGCAAACACACGTCTGCGTCTGCTGCAGCGCGGTGATTTTGTTTGGTTGCTCTGCATTGCAGTAATCGGCTCCACTCTTCTGCTCTGCTCTCACCCACAGACAATCACTGGCTCTCAATGGACAACATCAGCAAGGGAAATACCTACAAAGAGAGTGAGAGACCTAGAGAGAGTGAGAGAGAGAGAGTGAGACGGAGAGGGGAGGGTGAGGAGGATGCTGGAAGGAAGAGGATGATGAGAAGGTAGGGAGGGAAAGATGGACTAAAGAGGACAGAGGGAGATTTGCGGGAGGATGGGAGGAGATGAAAAGAGGGGGAGAAAGATCAGCGAGCGGGTGTTTCCAGGCTTAAGGCTGCTGGAGGACTTGTTAATTTGTGTGTGAGAGGAGAGTTACAGTAGGTAGTGAGACACAGAAGAACTTACAGTATGTAAGACACACATACTGTGAATCCACACATTTTCTGGCCCCCTTTTGCTCTCTGGCAGACGACGCCACCCACATGATCTCCGTAAACACTCGGAGCTCAATTACGTGTCTGCCAAACAGTTACGGTCAGAAGATGACGATTTTCGTGCCTCCTAGTGTAACATGACAATACTTATTTACAGTGTCTTGAAGCAAAATGGCGGATTATTCAGTGTGTTGGCTAGGTGTTATTATAGTAAGCTGATATGTGTCTGTTACTGTGTCATTCTGCTGTTGCAGTAAGCTGGTGCGGAGACACTAAGATGGCAGGGACCGGGGCCTGGCTGACGTTGAAAACATCACATGAGCTTTACGGTCCTTTTGCTGTAGTTTTCAAAGTGTGTGTGTGTGGTGGTGGGGGGGGGGGGATGTTATGTCCTTGTGCACATTTATGTGAGTTTTAAGGTTTGTAGATCAGAAACAGACAATATGGAGAATATGGATGAGGATAGAAGAACTTTTTCCATTTTGTTTTTTTCTGAAAAATATTTTTTGGACGGGGCAGATTGCTTTGAACAGATTTTCACCCAGATTTTAAAACAAGGTGTTGACTTTCCTGCTGCAAGAATGCACTGTTCACCTCAGGTTTCCTGCTGCATTCAGAAGAAGAGAATAGAAATGGGGGAAAATGTAGATCACCTGCTGATCATGCATCCCTGAAAGTAATACAAAAAAACCCCAATAAATGATTCAACTACAGGTGTTTGTTTTTTGCTACCAATGTATTTTTCGTAATCAGATTTTCACTATGATATTGGTATTATTGATTTTTTAATCTAATTTTCCACTTTTTTAACATTCACTATATACGAATTATTCGCTGTATTGAGAGCTACAACAAAAAGCACAAAGCCTCGGGATCAGTGTCTCTCTGAAACAACTATAAGACAGTGTTGAATTGCACCATAAATTCTGATTTGTGAGCCCTCTCCCTGCTGTTTCGACTTGTTTCCTCCCCTGTCAGGAGCGAGCCAGGAGCAGAGGATTAGAGCCTACCTCAGCACTGGAATGCCTGGTGGCTGCTATTGCACAGCTCCCATCACCTCCTAAATACCCCAGCTGGTGGTTTTAGTATTGAGAGGCAGTGGGCCACACAACTGTCGACTTTGCTCTTCATTTATGATAAACTTAAGTCTGCCTTAATCTCCGCCCGTCGCCGTGTGTTGAACCAGTGTTTGGAACAACATGTTTATCTGGCGAGGAAGGCGAGTGGAGTGGGAGCCAGGGGAAGGCACCCGTTCACAGAGATAACCCAAAATATCTTCTCTCGTTCCAAGTGCCGCTCTGAAACTGGGGAGTGCGATTGTGTTTATGTGTCTGGGTGCAGGGGCGTAACAGTGATTTATGGGTCCTGTGCACATTGGGGAATTCTGGGGCCTTTGTACTTTTTCATCACCACAGTGATGGCATCTAAATCCACCCAGCCTTATTGCAAAAATTCACACATTTTGATTTACTGAAAGATCTTACCTGATGGCACTAAGCTGTTAAAACTATACAAGGGACTGACAACAACAACATGAATATCAGTACTGCTTTAAAATATCCTTGCAATAAATAATAATAATAACATTGTATATGATCGCTTGTAATGTTACATATTTGTTATAGAAGTGCCTCAAAACAACTAACAAACTTTTCCAAGTTCTGCCTTTATTTTTAAAGAAGCACAATAGAGGCAGATAAAATGTAATCCCAGTGCAGCCAGATTCGAACCATAGACATCATCCTTTATGTGAAATGCATTCAGTGCAACAGGGTAATAGGAAAATTGTCTTGTCTGCTGCTGTTTAATCAACCTATCCATCATAATATAGTAACAACTGAATCGACTGAAAATATTGACATCAACTGGACTTATGTGGCTCTCTTAGTTAGCAATCCATCACACACACAAATAAAATCTTTAAAGCTGCGCCAATCAATATTTTTATATTAACAACTGGTCATATGACTATGTGTAATGTGAAAGGAGTCGCTGGTAGTGGTAAACCCACAGATTTATCACCCGACCCTGCAGTTCTCCACACCACTACGGAGCCTCTTAGCGCCTTTCAGCTCATTGTTTTGGTGTTATTGCTGTTTTGATTCATTCTCACTGCTCTCATGAGCTTTTTCCAGTCAAAAAGCTCTAAACCCACTGTACACTACCTGCCCAGCACCAAACCGAAGATAGACAAAGTAAGCAACTAACTGATGAATGTAGTGGAGCATTTAGCGACTAAAGAGGCAGATATTGTCCTCATTAGGTGGTGGAGGACAAAAACGTAAAAGCGAGTATTGGTACTACGGTTAATCAGATGCCCACAAACTTTGTCTGCTGGATGTGTGAATAGGCAATAGTTTGTTAACAAG